AACTGCGTTCCTTGTGCAGCAACTTGGAGGACCTTGGTGTGATTGATTTAGAAGATCTTCATATGGTTCACCGTGGACGTTTTGGTCTTCAATATGAAGTGATTTTGGCCAAAAGGCTTTCTTATCATGGAAGACCTTGGCTCGAGGTCATCATATTTTCTTTGTAAGACCTTGTCTTGGTGCATACGGTTGATACTTCAAATGCTAACTAGGGGCACCTAATTTGTAAGTCCCACAACATATTTTCCTTTTTCTCGCCTTTTTTTTTTTGCTTTTCTTTTTTTCTTTTTTTTTGTGTGGGACTTACTCGGCTATGGTGTGCCCCCATCTATGCTTCTCATTTTTTCTTAATTCGGAAATTTGTTTTTCTTGACACAAGTATAGGGAGGCTGAGAGTCTGTCTTGGTGATTGAGAATGTGGGTTCCTTTTGTTAGCTAGGCTGATTTGGCTATTCCTTTCTCGAAGAATCGAGATTGCTGGCGTTATGTGCTTGTTTGTGTAGATAAGTGTTTCATGCGTGTGATTCCTTGGTTTGCATAGATTGCATCCTTGAACTCCTTCAATCCTCTAGTCATGACATTTAGTGAGAAGTTTCCTATCCATAATGTTGAGTCCCCTGCGTATCGGTGCATTGGGATTTGGCTATTTGACTTCATGTGAACTTGAGTCTCGACCTGTTATCAAAAGTCGACTACAATGGCAACAAGATTCTACAAGTAGCGTGATGTCGTGTACTCGTTACACCTTTTGACTATTAATTTTGACTCACAATTTTATATGAACTCAGGTAGAGTGTTCATACTCTTAACGCCAGTGGGGCGCTTAAGCTCTCGACACTAATGAGGTGTTTTAAATTCTCAACACCAGTGGGGTGTTCACATTTTCTTAGTATGACAATCTCATGGCATAACTTGAGCATGAAACTAGATTTTGATGGGTTTAATTTTTGTAGAAAATAATTCTCTCTCTTTTTTTTAAGACATCAGAAGTGGTATTCGCAATTTTGATTATGAAAACCCATTGATGCAAACTCTAAAATTAAGATTGATAATGTTCACACAGTGCTCAGAAGAAGTTGTAACGTGAAAGACCTTTTATTCATGACGGCGAAAGCAAAAGTGATACATATTTTGTTATGGCAAATTATCTCGATATTTTATTTACTAGATAGGATCAACATCATCCTTCAATCGAGCTTTGCCTTGTAACATGCCTACTAATTCTCATGAGTTGGCAGTGGGTTGTTGCTGACATCTGGGGATTTAGAATCTTCTTCAAACTTTAACCAACCAGCTTTCATCATTTGTTGAACTTTGATCTTGAACATTCGACAATCTTCAGTTGAGTGTCCCGCGACTCCTGAGTGGTAAGCACAGTGTTGATCTGACCGGTACCAATTTGGGTAAGGGGGTTTCATTGGCTCACATGGTATTGGGGCAATTAGGTGACTCTGAATTAGTTGGGGGAGAAGTTCGGTGTATGTAATGGGGATAGGGTCGATTTGGAGAGGTTTTTTGTATTTCCCGGGATTGTTCTTGTCTTGGTTATTTGGTGGTGCAACTTGTGTCGGGCTTTGGATTGTTCGTTGAGTTTGAAAAATTGGACGTTGATTAATTATGGCGGGGTTTGCAACATGGGGACGCGCTTGATTGACTTGATATTGATGATCCCACCTTCTCCCTCTTGATGGTTCTGCTTGAGTATAATGGACGTCTGCTTCTCCCCTTCGGGTTTGGTGTGGTTTCTTAGAGGCTTCTGGAATTTCCATTTTTCCTAGCTTAATCCCCTTCTCTATTCGTTCTCCGATTATTAACAAATCAGCAAAGTTTGTTGTAGTGATTCCTACCATGTTGTTGTAATACGGAGGCTTTAGTGTTTCGAAGAAGGTCGAAACCATTTCTTTTTCTGACAACGGGGGTTGAACATCTGCGGCCTTTCCTCGCCACCTCTGTGCATATTCACGGAAAGATTCATTTTCTTGCTTTTCCATATTACGTAAATCCTCTCGGTCAGGAGCTAGATCTTGGTTGTGCTTGTAGTGTCTTATGAACGCATCAGCTAAATCTTGCCACCTCTTCACCTTCGATCTTTCGAGTTGCATATACCATCTTAGCGCCGAACCACTTAGGCTATTCTGGAAGCAATGTATCATGAGCTTGTCATCTCTAATGTGGTTAGCCATTTTGTTGCAATACATGATTAGATGGTTTCTGGGGCACGTGGTACCGTCATACTTTTCAAACTCCGGAATTTTAAATTTATTGGGAATTATCACGTCTGGAACTAGGCACAACTGTGTGGCATCTGTAGAACCATAGGATTCTACCCCCTCAATGGCTCTCACCCTTTCGTCCAGGTATTCCCATTTTTCTTTTAATAGAGTGTCGTCCATGGCTCCTTCCAATTTGTCTTCCTCTCGATCATGGTTTGGAGATCCCACGTTCTTTTTATCATTTACGTCTTTTGAGGGTATGACGAGGATCTTGGCACTGGAAGCTTCACCCTTCAGGTGCCTATCACGATCTTCTTCATCAGAGTGTATTTCTTCATCGCCAGGTACTACCTCTTTCCCTTTAGCTGATAAGATCTTTACTATCATGTTCAGCTGATCCTTCATTTCATCGAACCCGGCTAGCTTTTCATCGAATCCGGTTATCTTTCCTTCAATGTCGCTTAACTTCTTCTGGAATGCTTCCATGACGAACTCGAACTTGGATCTAGTTAAGTACTTGAAGTCTTGACTTTTTCCTTGTGGACGAGCAATTTTAAGGAAAACTGGTTTTGTCTCAACATTGTTAAATTAATTTTGTTCTTTATATGTATGGATGATGCTTATGCAAAAATGCAATGATGTATGAATGCAAATTCATTTTTCATCTCATGCATGCATTTTTAATCTTCTTATGATAAAATTGTGAATGGGTGAATGGAAATCTTATGAGAGAATGATGCTTATCAATTTTGAAAACGTTTTTCATTCATACAATCACACAGTTTAACGAGTGAAAGATAAAATGCATATCATAACATCACAAACAAACATACATTTAAATAAATAAACATATATCATTGCATCATTACCCTATTTAGGTAGGCCTAGGGATTTCGAGCGTCGTAACAACATGGTTTTAGGGTGGCTTTGGGGATTGTTTTGGATGGCTTAGGGAGGTTTCTATGCTTACTATATGCTGGCAGGGGAAATTCTTAAAGATTTGGTTCCCAAGTTGTATCCTACCACAGCCCTTTCGAACTGGCTGGATACCTCGAGATCAACCTCGGATCCGAGTTCAACTTGGTTAGAAAGTTTTGCGTGATTACCACTACTGTGGATGTCACGGTACTCCTTTCAATTTTCTAAAAGGATAGCTCGGGTATTGAGCTTTTATGCATGAATGCAGAATTTAATTGCGAAAATATAATTGCGCAAATAATAAAGTAAACACCCAACACGTAATAGTAAATTAGAAAACTTATCGAACTTAATTATGTAGCTCGACTCTCGAGGTCCCCAGCGGAGTCGCCAACTGTCGCAACCGTCCCTCCGGGGGCCCGAATGTCGTCGCGTCGGCATTTTAGGGAGTCGCCATCGATCTTACTTGGAGTGGATCGAACACTCTTCGAGTCGGCTCTAACCTTAGGGTCAGAACCGAGATATGGTCTGCGGTTAAGAGATTTGGGTTCGGGAGTACGGTTACGTGTGGGGAAGTGAAATCACACCCCACAACGCCCTAAATCGGTACTACTTAAGTCGATAAGTTTTTATATGAGTTGGGTGTATTTTAGTAATATTTTAGTAATTTTAGGTCCCACTGGACCATTTAATGATTTTAATCGTATTAGCTGTAATTTAATTGTATGCCCACTGACGTACAATTTAAAGATAAAGTTAATTGGTTAGTTGGACTCGAACCTTATCGGTTGCCTACGTACCCGTTAGACGGGATCAAAGTCCACGTAGTTCGTTAGGGACCTTAATAATTTTAAATGTAATTTTTACCACGTTCCACCGATCGTGGTTCTCGCGTATTAAAGATTTTGTTAACTTTGATAGTTTTAGTTATAACTTTTACCACGTTCCACTGAACGTAATTCTCGTATTACAATTTTGTTAATAAAATTTCATTTAGATTATTATGATGTTACGAAAATAAATGCAAGGATTTTAGTTATTGGGAAGTATTTTGAGGTATTAGAAAAGAAACAAGATCAACTTAATCCGCATTAACATTTCGTATTAGGGATTTTAAAAACAAATAAAATCAAATGGGATGATTAAATTTAAGAATGATGGGCCAGCAGCCCAACTGGCTAAACCGCCAGTCGTACAACGCACCCGATCGCGAGGATACGGGTTCGAAACCAGCTGCCACCACCTTTTTTGTTTCTCTGTTTTATTTCAGAGAAAAGGGGAAGGGTAGTTTCGAACTTTCACTAAAACACGGTGGCAGGGCCCGTTAATTTTCGGAAACCCCAAGGGTAAAACAGTCAATTACTATATTGAGGTATATAAACCTCTACTGGAAACCCTAATCCTAAACCTAACCATAAGTGCAGCCGCCTCTCACCCCTCTCTCTCGTCTCTGCTCTCACCTCTGCTCTCACCTCTGTTCTCTCTCTTCTCGTTTCCTCCAGAGTAAACCGAAAACCAAAAAAAACGAAGAACAATCGCCCTCTCCCTCTCCCGATTCTCTACTTTGTTCTCTGTGCTCTCGGCTAGCTAAGGAGTCCGCTCGTTTCGTACTAAATCAACCGAGAGGGTTTCGATCCAGGTAAGAGTGAGACATGCATGGTATTTTTGATTCGTTTTAGGTGATTTTATTAGGATTTGTCTAACTTTCTTTCGTTTTCTTGTGACTTTGAGGCTTGTTTTCGGACGAGGGAAAAGAAGCAGTGAGGAGATCGCCAGACCGAGGTACGATTTAACCGTAGGCTCGGATCTGGTTTCGTTTTTGGTTTTTCGGTTGTATTTTTGGATTTCTGGGTTCTAATATGTTTTTTTTGGTTGGGCGGAGGAGAAGAAGGGAATCTTTGGCGGCTAAGATCCCTACCGACAAAATTTCGCCGGCGATGAGTTGACAACGGCGGCGGCAGGTGAGGATTGCTTCGATTAATTTTTTTATTTTCTTGACTGGTATTGGTTCTAATTGATTCTGGTCTCTACGCAGGTTTTGAAATTGACAGGACTGGGTAAGGTTTCTAAACTCAGATTAGTGTGATCTTGAACAAAAAAGATGGGTTGAATCTGATTGCAGATCTGGGTTTTCAATAAAAATGGTTATGTATGAGTTCAATAATTTTGGTGTTTGGTGGATGGATTTAGATGCAAATCTTGATACGTTGGAATTTGCTAAAAAGGGGTTAAAGACACATTTGGTCACTGAGATTATAAAATCGGGACATGTTTAGTCACTAAAAAAATTAATATCAAATTTGGTCACTACAATTACTAAAACTGGACACATTTAGTCACTCGCCGTTAGTCTCCGTCCAACTCCGTTAATGAAGTCCGTTAAGTGATGATGTGGCAAACAGAATTGCCTAATCAGCCGAATATAACCCAACAAAAATAAAACCAGACCCGCCACGTCATTATAACCCGCCACGTCATTAAAACCAACCCAACCCATGACCCAACCCCACCCAACCCTTCTTCCTTCTTGGCTTCGTCCTGGGCAGAGAAAGTGGAATTGTGGTTCCAGGAAGAGAGCACAAGCAGAGTGTGGTGGTGGACTTCTTTGAGGAGATGGGTTCGCAGCCTGGCGTGGCTAAGGAAGTTGAGTGAGATGATTCTCATGTTCTTGTGCATATCTCCCACAAAAACCAGCATCGACCATTTCCCCAGAATCCCGCCGATGCTCTTCGGGTAGCTGCATTCGAACATCTTCCCTTCGTTTTGGAGTATGAATCGGTTCGGCCCTGCGTCCGCCGACACAATCGTCCGCTCCCCGAACAAATTCGACTTGTATATCTTCCCGTACCTGCACAATCAGTCAGTTTTACTCTGTTCCACAAACAAAAATCACAAAAAAATTCAAATGCTCTGTTTTTACCTGGTGACGTGCTGGTCCATGAAATCGCCGAGGAAAGTGGGGGAGAAAGGTCTCAAGTAGCCAATCGTCTCGCCGAGGAAAGGCCAGCCGGAGCTGCCTGGTGGGAGATTGAATCTGCGGTGGGATTTGATTTTGAGGATGAGGATGAGGATGAGGAGCAGAGTGAGGAGGGAAGGGAGAAGGAAGAGAACCACACGAACTAGCTCTGACTCAGACATGGAGGTCATGCTTGGGAGTTGGGACTGGGTGTCTCTCTGTTTCTCTATTGAGGAAAGGAGTTGAGTGGAGACAGAGAGATGGGTTTTTCTCAGAGAGCAGGAGTAATAGTATCTTCTTTTGCTGCGGAAAGGGTCCCAGAAATCCCAGCTGGAAGACTGAGGAACCGGCGGCGGAGCAGGGGAAGCGGAGATCGATGTCCAGGTGGTGTCGGAGCTGGGGCTCATTGGAGGAGGAGGCGGCGGCGGCTGGAGAGGGGGCGAGGGGGACGGGATCGCCGGTTGGTGGCGGTGGTGGTGGTTGTAATTGGGGCGGAGGTGGGGGTGGTGGAGATTGGTTTCTATGTTGGAGAAGGTGAGAAGTGGGAAAGGAGGTTTTTTGGTTTTCTGGGTGGATTGAAAGGTGGTGGGAGGAAGGAGGAGAGCGGCGGCGGCGGCGGTGGTTTTGGGGAAAGAAGGAGGTGAGAGGAAGGAGGAAGAAGGGTTGGGTGGGGTTGGGTCATGTGTTGGGTTGGGTTGGTTTTAATGACGTGGCTGGTTATAATGACATGGCGGGTCGAGTTTTATTTTTGTTGGGTTATATCCGGCTGATTAGGCAGTTCTGTTTGCCACATCATTACTTAACGGACTTCATTAACGGAGTTGGACGGAGACTAACGGCGAGTGACTAAATGTGTCCAGTTTTAGTAATTGTAGTGACCAAATTTGATATTAATTTTTTCTAGTGACTAAACATGTCCCGATTTTGTAATCTCAGTGACCAAATGTGTCTTTAACCCGCTAAAAAGAAAAAGAAGTTTTTCTAATGGGTTAAGTAATTAAATGGCCCTAAGCTTGCTAATTTTGGTGATTATAAATCACTGCCTCTGTCCGTGATTTTGCTAGACTAGGTACTATAAATCATTGCTACTGCTTATGATTTTGTCGAAATTATGGTCTCTAAATCACTGCTACTGCTTGTGGTTTTTATTAAATTAGAGTTGGTGATTGATTTGAAAAAGGGCAAGGATTTATGAATCTGAAATTTTAGTGAGGTATGGTGATCGTTGGATCTGGCCCTAGACCAGAACCATGAACTTCTAGAAAAAATCGGATTCTAATGTTTGTCTACTATCTGCTAAAAAAGAATCTGAAAGCATGACGATAATTTAAAGTAGCATAGAAATTGTTGAAATAATAAAATCAAGTGCTTAATTGAAATGAGCCTAATCCGAATAGCAGTAATATAAATGACTGTGACTAATAAGCTTCAAGGAAATAGCGTAAATGAAATAGACATTCTACTAAAAACAGTAAATGGATTACACAAGAGTAAGTTCGTGAAAAGTAGGTGCAATATCATTCAATAAAAAGAGTTTTCGGTTTACAAGCACCAACCTGGTGGGCAACCTTGGATCTCGGAAATCCTTGCTCTTCAAATATTACAACTTTGAACTTGTGGGCGACTCTAGATCTCCAAGTGCGTAATCAACTATTACAAATTTGAATCAAGTGGCAAGAAAAGGAAAATTTCTGAATAGAAGTATTTCTCTATATCTGCTTCCTAATTCCCAGCGTCTACCTTCTGCCTTTTTCCCCCTTCAACAATGAAACCCAAAGAGCTAATTTATACCAACGGGTTTGCGCCACATGTCATTTGTTCATTTGTTGTTGTTGAAGCTGAAACTAGCGTGCTTCATTCTGATTGGTCGAATTTTAAGGCTGAATCTTAACCCTCCACCTGCAAAGTCGGTTGCTGAGTGGCTGTGTTGGAGAGCTCCACCTTGCTTGGTCGGCTCTGACTAGTCAGGGTGTGGATAGGGTTGGCATATGATTTCGGGCCGAGTTGGCCGAAATGGGCCTAGAGTTGTTTGCGATCTGCTCTTCGTCTGGGCTCAAAATGGGCTTCGTCCAGTCTTGCACTTGGGCCAAACTGGGCTTGGATTCTTGAGACTAATTCGTGGGCTTGAGGTTGCTTACTTTGAACTCTAGCTTGGGCATGTCTTGACTGATTTACTCTGATTTTGCAGGCTACTTTTGCTGGTCTGGGCTCCCCGGTAATGGGCCATACTTGGATTCTTGATACGAGAATAGGAGTAGATTGTTCCCTTTCAACTTGTGTCTTGTATTTGAGGATGATAGTTGTACAAATTGAAATTTCTTGTAGTAATGTTTGATAGTTGTGGCAATCTTTTTATTTTTCTTTGTAGCCTTTACCATCGAGCTTTGAATAATTCTCTAATACGAATCCCTAACCATGACCCATATCGCTCCTTGATTTGTTTTCATTAACCAAGTTTACTGTGCCACACTTTCGATTGAAGGTGCAGTTTGATGTTCTATGATAAATATCAGACCGGACAAAATGTGGTGTCTACAGTACCCGTATAACGGGATCAAAGTCCACGTAGTTCGTTAGAGCTTTGATAATTTAGTTGTAACCACGTTCCACTGATCGTGATTCTGGCATTAAGAGTTTTGTTAATAAAATTTGAATAGGTTATTACGAGGTTGTTAAGAGAAACATAATAATTTTAGTTGTTAAGAAGATACTTGGTGTATTAGAAAAGAAACAAGATTAACTTAATCCGCATCTGAAATTTCATATTAAGGATATTAAATAATAAAATGAAACTGATTAATTAAGCTTACACAAGATGGACCAGCAGCCCAACTGGTTAAGTAGCTGGGCCGAGTTTCTCATGAGTAGGTAACGGGTTCGATACCTCAACCTTCCTCTATAAATTTCGTTTTTCAACTTTCGTTTTTCAACACAGGGGAAGGGCATTTCTGTACTTTCTCTGGAAAAGGTATTGTTTAGTGTTCTTTAGGGGGGTCATACATATATAAATATGTTCTTGGGAGGTAATTTTTGCAGTGGTTAGCTTCTACTTTCTGGGGATTCTAGTTTTTTTTGTCATGGTTTGGATAAATGTATTGAAGGCACTCTATTAGTTAATCCAGCAAGGTTTGAATATTTTTATTCATACTCATTCGTATTTTTTGCCATGATCTGAAGAATATTTAATCTTAGTTCCCGTTTGATTGTAATGGGTATCACTTGAGCTCTCGATCTTTGAGAGTATAATTTGAATGGTTCGGTTTTGAGTGATATGATTTGAGCGTTTTTCAACTTTCGTTTTTCAACACAGGGGAAGAGCATTTCTGTACTTTCTCGAAAACGCGGTGGCAAGGAGTCGCAATTTTAAGGAAACCCTAAGGGTAAAATCGTCGTTTCGAACATGATGGTATATAATCCTCTCAATGAAACCCCAATCCGTCCTAAATAGAGGAGGCGGCGGCCTCCACTCTCCCTCTCTCTCTTGTCTCTCGTCTCTGCTCTCACCTCTCTTCTTCTCTTCCAGAGAAAAAAACAAAGGAAACCCTAGCCGCCTCTCTTCTCGCCTCGACTCTCTCTTTTCTCGTTTCCTCCAGAGTAACCCGAAAACCAAAAAAAACGAAGAACGATCGCCCTCTCCCGATTCTCTACTTTGTTCTCTGTGCTCTCGGCTAGCTAAGGAGTCCGCTCGTTTCGTACTAAATCAACCGAGAGGGTTTTGATCCAGGTAAGAGTGAGACATGCATGGTATTTTTGATTCGTTTTAGGTGATTTTATTAGGATTTGTCTAACTTTCTTTCGTTTTCTTTTGACTTTGAGGCTTGGTTTCGGACGAGGGAAAAGAAGCAGTGAGGAGATCGCCAGACCGAGGTACGATTTAACGGTAGGCTCGGATCTGGTTTCGTTTTTGGTTTATCGGTTGTATTTTTGGATTTCTGGGTTCTAATATGTTTTTTTTGGTTGGGCGAAGGAAAAGAAGGGAATCTTTGGCGGCTAAGATCCCTACCGACAAAATTTCGCCGGCGATGAGTTGACCACGGCGGCGGCAGGTGAGGATTGCTTCGATTAATTTTTTTCTTGACTGGTATTGATTCTAATTGATTCTGGTCTCTACGCAGGTTTTGAAATTGACAGGCCTGGGTAAGGTTTCTAAACTTAGCTTAGTGTGATTTTGGAACTTGAACAATAAAAAAATGGGTATGTATGAGTTCAATAATTTTGGTGTTTGGTGGATGGACTTAGATATAAATCTTGATATGTTGGAATTTGCTAAAAGATTTTGTAATGGTTTAAGTAATTAAATGGCCCTAAAATTGCTAATTTTGGTGATTATAAATCACTGCCTCTGCCCGTGATTTTGCTAGACTAGGTACTGTAAATCATTGCTACTGCTTATGATTTTGTCGAAATTATGGTCTCTAAATCACTGCTACTGCTTGTGGTTTTTATTAGATTAGAATTGGTGATTGATTTGAAAAAGGTCAAGGATTTATGAATCTTAAATTTTAGTGAGGTATGGTGATCGTTGGATCTGGCTCTAGACCAGAACCATGAACTTCTAGAAAAAAAAAAGGATTTAGCCTATTTTAGCAGAGCTGCTTCGATTTTGGATGGGATTCTAATGTTTGTCTACTATCTGCTAAAAAAGAATCTGAAAGCATGACGGGAATTTAAAGTAGCATAGAAATTGTTGAAATAAGAAAATCAAGTGCTTAATTGAAATGAGCCTAATCCGAATAGTGAAGTGCTTAAGTGAAACGCATAGCAGTAATATAAATGACTGTGACTAATAAGCTTCAAGGAAATAACGGAAATGAAATAGACAGTAAATGGATTACATAAGAGTAATTTTGTGAAAAGTAGGTGCAATATCATTCAATAAAAGAGTTTTCGGTTTACAAGCACCAACCTGGTGGGCAACCTTGGATCTCGGAAATCCTTGCTCTTCAGATATTACAACTTTGAACTTGTGGGCGACTCCAGATCTCCAAGTGGATAATTAACTATTACAACTTTGAATCAAGAAACAAGAAAAGGAAAATTTCTGAAGAAAAGTATTTCTCTATATCTGCTTCCTTATTCCCAGCGTCTATCTTCTGCCTTCCTCCCCCCTCCAACAATGAGAACCAAAGTGCTCATTTATACCAAAGGGGATGCGCCACGTGTCATTTGTTCATTTGTCGTTATTGAAGCTGAAACTAGCGTGCTTCCTTCTGAGTGGTCGAATTTTAAGGCTGAATCTTAACCTTCCACCTGCAAAGTCGGTTGCTGAGTGGCTGTATTGGAGAGCTCCACCTTGCTTGGTCGGTTCTGAGTTCTGACAAGCTGTGTTGGATAAGGTTTGGGATAGGGATGAGCCAAGTTTGGGCCAAACCCTCCAGCTTCAGTTTGTGGGCCGACATTGGTTTGTTTCTTGGGGCTCGCTGGTCTTGAACCTGGGCCGAGTTTGTCCACATCTTGGGCTTGCACTGGAGTCTCGGATTTGGCCTTCAGCTTCAATTTAACTAGTCTTGGAGTTGGGCTGGGTTGATCTGATTTTCTTTTCTTTTGCAGGTTGCTTTTGCTGACTGGGCCTTCAAGTGGTGGACCAAGCTTGATTCTTCATTTGTAGATAGAAAATGTTTATTTTCTTTCAATTTGTATTTGAGGATTGTAAATTTAAATTCTGTTTGAAAATTGTGACGATGGTCCCATTTGTCATTGATATTCTTCTGATATTATCAGACATTTAAGAAATCCTCTTTAAGAAATCCTCTAGCACGATTCCCAAACCATGAATATACCATCTCTCCTCGATTCGGTCCCATGAACCAAGTATACTGTGTTACATTTCTCGGTTGTAAGTGTAGGTTGATGTCCTCGTGATAGGTTTTTACACCGGACAAAATGTGGTGTCTACTGTTGCCCCCCTTTGTATATCTCTTTGTATAAAGAGTTATACAAAGTTCTTATAAAGACACCACATTTTTTAAATTTCTGATGATGATTTTTTCATATGCGCAGAGTGGTGCTTGATTGTCGTAAGAACTGCTGGTAGTTGTTTGTGTCACGAATGCATATCATGATGAGCTCGCCAGCTCTTTCGAGGTATTGAATGGTAGGGGTGATCCTCAGCTCCCGTGTGTTGTTGAAAAATATTTTTGATGATAGATTAGTATGTGTGGTGGCAAATTCCTTTACGTCAGGTGTCTTGCCCACATAATGAACTATGTTGTGAGGGATGGATTGTCTGAGATATATGTAGTTGACACAAGAATTAGGGAGCAATCACCTTATAGAATTCAAAAATTCAATAATTTTGTTGCTCTTGATAATACGAGCAAATTTTTTTGGGTCTTGATGTTCAGACGAGGAGGAATTGAGCTCTTTTATGTAACAATCTGTTGTGAAGTATGAGTATGCTTTAGATCTTGATCGGTTGTCATATAAGCATTTTAAAATTGGTCTTGAAACTAAAAGTTTAAAACCGTATACTCATGATTGGGACAGTGCTAATAGATAGATGAATTATTGGACCAGTTTTATCACTTCACCTTAAAAGTTTATGGTTCACAATATATATAACCTCCAACTTGTTTCTTCCTGAAGTTGGGAAGTTGTATAATTTCTTGAGTAATTGGGTGGTTGTAAACCTTAAGGATTACTAGTTAACTTCATGACCGCCACAGTGAAACATAAATATTAGAAGCATTAGAAGAGGTTGACAAGATGAACAAGTTATTATACATAGATGTCGTGTTAGATTCAATGCAAAAGTTGTGCTTTGTTTTTTCACTCTCAAGTGGGTGTATGATGATGAGAAAGAGGCTGGTGATTTCGCAAGTGAAGTTGAGGAGGCTACGTATGAGTTGTATGATCATTATGAGAATCAAATAGAAGTAGGTGAAGCTTCATCCTCCTCTCAAACAGAGCAAGATGACAATGGTGGAAACGTGGATCTAATGGCGGGGTATATGTAGCAATTGCAAAAGGAAGGAGGTGTAGTAAATTGCAAATGAGTCATTATATAAATTATGTCAATGTAACCAAAAAAAACTTCCAGCACAGCAGTTAAATTGTCACGTTATAGTCAACTAACAGTTGACTAAATGTAAGATTAACAATTTGACTATTATTTGTTTAAAACGGAAGATTTAACTAATAAATTGTATTTACAAATATTTGGTATATTTGGTTCGTACAAACTTTTTATTCCAACAATTTTAACCCCAAACAGTACAAGATATCAGCTGATATTTGTAATAAGATATAAAACAAAATTGCTCTCATAGGACTAGAGAACAAGCTTTTTTTTATATAGTAAACTGCTCTAGGTTGTATTAATCATGATCAACCATTACAGAATCCAGCTCCAGCTGGTCAAGTAAACAGATAGGAGGTCGGTCGAACAAAACCTCAACTACATTCCAGTTCATATCCAAATGTGCCATTATATGTGTCGCCTTGTTCGCTGTCCAAGAAACATGCTTACACTCTCCATCTCCTGTCTCCTCAAGCAGCCGATGAATGCTCCTGCAAACCACGCCAAACTCCGTCTGATCATTAGCCGCATTACTGACGCAGTTAACCACTGACAAGCAATCTGTCTCAAGAACGAGGGCTCCCAGCTGATGCTGTCGGGCAAGCTGCAGGCCAAACTCGGCTGCTAACGCCTCGCCCATTTGGGGATCATGTTCCCCTTTGATTCTTTTCGCTGCCGCCATCAAGAAGTTTCCGTTCGAGTCACGAGCCACCACCCCTAAGCCGCAGCCACCCGCAAACACGCCTGCATCGATATTGATTTTTATGGCCCCTCGTCCGGTCTTTTCCATCTCCTCTCCACTGGCCGTATTTGCATCGGCAAACTAGCACCCTGCTGCTGCCTATACTCCTCCAATAATGACACCGCTCACGGGAGGATATCAACTTCTGCCAACTTTGTTCCATTGAACATATGAGCATTCCTCTCTTTCCATAGCATCCACAAGAGCATACTCCAATCTTCGAAATCCTTCTCCGACACTGACTACGCCACCTTCGTCACCCAATCCAAACTATGTAAATCAGTTCTCATATCAAAACAATGCGCCACATGAGATGTTCTCCACAGCCTGCATACCCATGCGCATTCTCCAAAAATATGTACTTGGGTCTCCTTCATGTTACAAAACGGACAAGCATCGCCTCGTCTTTGACTACAAGCACTCACATGATCCCCTGTCGCTAAAGAGTCTCGGGCAAAACGCCACATAAAGTGTTTCACCTTTGGTGGCACATTCATTCCCCACAGTTGTTTCCATAACCTTGGATCCCCCGTCGGCACCTGCTGATACGCCCCTGGGAGGGTGTATGTTATCAAAGTCACGCAGCTAACGACTCAATCGAAGAATCGATTGAGCTCGAATCAAGAACGAAGCGTTCTTAATACGAACTTGGATATAACGGAACCAAAAGGACAAATCCACACCTGGGGATAGCTCGATTGGTATAAAAGGGTAGTTGCTCGACCACGATTGAAGTGACTATTCAATCGATACACAAGCTCAGCAAGGTTGGAATGCACCAAACCCAAAACAAGTCGCAACTTGCACAAACCAAACGGTTCTCAATTTCGATTAATCAAAGTATGAGTTTTACAACGAAATAGAAAGCTTAAATAGGCCTAGCTAGGGTTACACACGTCCCATAAACTCCTAATTACATTCTAATACGAAAAGGAATAAAAAACTACCAAAACAATGAAAGCATAACTAAACAAGAAAAGGAAAATCTGCCTTTTAACTCCAAGTAACCAAACAGCCTTGATGCCATCTTTGAGCCTCTCGATCAAAGCCTTCCAAGTTGATTCGAACTCAACCAATTCCTTTCCTCTGTAGAAGAAGACTCCCTCTTTCACCTCCAACTTGAAACAGCCCGAGATCATTCTCCAAACTCCAGATATAGGCCTTCAAAGTTGGTATCTCAACACAGTTTTCTGCCTTAGACATTTTCTGGCAGTTTTCCAGTTTTGAGGTAGCAACTTTGAGACCTTGTAAAACAACCTTAATGACATCATATGTATCCAAAAAGCATACCAATGGAAACATGGAAACTTTATCTGCAAAACAAACTTTTAAACTTGAATTTCCACTGAGCAAATTGAGAGAACCATGCCTCCAAAGTATGTATCCTGAACACGAATTTTGACTTAGCCAAATTCTGCCCTTCTTCTTCCCAACTTCGATAGCTTTTTTCGTCAAGTAAATTAAACGTGTACAATGGACCATTTGGGATCATATCACCTGCCGCTGTCCGCTCGGAAGTCCCGCAACCATTTCTTGTAACCTTCCCGCGCCGAGTAGTCTCCGCCTTTACTCTCCGCCCAAATTAACTGATCTTTCTCAAGGTGTCCACGCAAAGGAATACGGACGATGGCTTCCGCCATTGCTGTTGTAAAGCAGCTTTCAATTAAGTCCCTATCCCATTGCTCGGACTCCTCATCAATCAACTCCCGGACTGTCGTGTCAACCGGGATACCCATAGGAGGAGATTGGACTATGAAGCCAGGTGTAGTGGGAATCCAGCGATCACCCCATACCCTTACCTGCTATCCATTACCTATGCGCCACCTTAATCCGCTCACAAGGAATTCCTGAGCACTCATTAAACTTCGCCACACATAACTCGGCCGATATCCCACACTTGCGTCCAGAATCCCTTCTTTTTTATGATATTTGGCCTTCAGCACTCGGGATATGAGAGAATCTGGTCGGCTATGCAGGCTCCAAAGTTGACGCGCAAGGAGAGCCGTATTAAACTCTCTTAGATCCCGAAAACCAATACCCCCGTCCACCTTTGGCACAATCAGTTCCTCCCTCGATATCCATGGAATTCGTTTCTCCTCAGCTCGTTGCCCCCACCAAAACCTGGTAATAAGTCCATGGATGTCATCGATAATGCCCTCCGGAACTCGAAACACAGAGATCGTGTACGTTAATTGAGCCTGGGCCATAGAATTTATCAGTACTTCCCTTGCTGCCACCGACATCACCCGTTCCTTCCAACCCGCCAGCTTCTTCCGAATTCGTTCCTTCAGGTATGTAAACAATGTTTTCTTAGACCGCCCAACGTCCGTGACCAATCCCAGGTACTTATTGTGCTTCTCTACTCGACGCATACCAAGAACTGACCTCACTTGAAGCTGTTGATGCGGCTTCACACTGCCACCAAAAGTAACCTCTGACTTCTCCAGACTTACAAGCTGACCCGACTCGTTCTCATAATCTTGCAGGATCCGCCGGAGTTCTTTGCTCTCTTGAACTGTAGCCCTGGCAAAAAATATAGAGTCGTCAGCGAAAAAAATATGTGAGATCATCGGGGCCCCCCTCACCACTGATATTCCATGGATCTTCTTCTCCTCCACCGCCTTCGAAGTATAGGAGCTTAATCCCTCCGCCACCAGCAAGAAGAGATACGGGGAGAGAGGGTCCCCTTGCCTCAGCTCTCTACTTGGCACAATCTTCTCCGAACGGTGCCCGTTAACCAGAATAGAATATGTTACTGACAGAACACACATCATTATCAGGCCAATCCATCTTTCCAAGAAACCCATCCTTCTCATCACCCCCTCCAAAAACCACCATTCCACTCGATCATATGCTTTCGCCATATCAGTCTTTTCTGCGAAGTATCCTTTCTTATTCTTTGACTTTATCTTCATCGTGTGGAAACACTCGAATGCAGTCATCACATTATCCGCTATGAATCTACCTGGGACAAACGCACTCTGCTCAGGAGAGATTATCCCATCCAAAATCACTTTCAAGCGATTGGCCAGAACTTTCGCAATTAACTTATACAGCACGTTACATAAACTGATGGGGCGAAAGTCCTTCGCCATTTGCGGGTCCTTCACTTTCGGAATGAGAGTATGATTAAGGTCACCCGGCATCGTCCCTCTCTCCAAAATTTGCAGCAGCGTTCTCGCGACCTCATCTCACACAAGGCTCCAATATTTTGTGAAAAACAAGACCGAAAAACCATCAGCTCCCGGAGCCCTCCTCTTACCCATCTGTTTTAGCGCCATGAAAATTTCATCCTTTGTGAACTGACTGATCAGCTTCTCATTTGCTTTGACCAATACCCGCGAGCGAATGGAGTCAAGAACCGGGGTCATAATTGGGCGCTCCCCTATCGTAAACAGGCCTGTATAATAGTTTATGAGACATGAGAAAACCTATTCCTGGCCTATCCACCATTGTCCCAACTGATCTTTTCTCTTTCTGATAGTGTTTCTTCTCCTCCGTGCCGATGCTTTCCGATGAAAATAATTCGTGTTCTTGTCCCCTTCTTTTAGCCAATCCACCCAGGAGCGTTGTTGCCAAAAAATTTCTTCATCACATTCCATGTCTTCCAGCTCAGTTTGAAGTTGTTGTCTCTGATCCAGAATCACATCTGACTCCTCGCATCTTTCTAGAGCCTGCAAAGCTCGTTTAATTTAGCTTTCTGCCTGCGGAAATCAGGTAAATCCGTACGGCTCCAGCTGTCTAACTTCTTGCTCATTTGGCTGATTTTGCTAAACACATCTCCCATCCCTGAATTCCATGCTTCCTCTACAGTCTGAGTGCAACTTTCATGTTGTAACCAGTGAGGTTCAAAACGGAATGACCACCCCCATTTTACCTCCTCATCTTCCTCACCCATTGTTTTACAAAGGATTGGTCAATAATTGGACCTTGTACTATCGAGGTGGACCACTCTAGCATTTGGCCACTTCTCCCGCCACCTCTCGTTTTGCCAAGAACCGATCTAACCTTTCCTCTATATAACCGCCCCTCCTTCTCCTATTATCCCACGTATATGGATAGCTCAAAAAGCCAATGTCCTGCAAACCTACATCAACAAGACAGTCAGAGAACATTCTCATCTCCACCTCAGCCGGCGGGTTACCACCTTTCTTCTCCGAACCCGCAAGGACTTGATTCAAGTCCCCTCCGCACAGCCACGGCCCCGCCCACTGTGCTGCCAGCTGCCGAATCATCGCCCATGTATGTTCTTTTTACCGCTTTCTGGCCAGCCATATACACCCGTGAATCGCCATTCCCCTAGCACCACATCTGCCACTTTTACATCAATATGGTTTTTGGTTCGCGACATCACCGTAACTTCAACCTCATCATTCCACCAGATACTTAATCTGCCCGCACGACCCCCATTTGAAACATCGGTAGGTCAGCTCTTGTCATTCTTATACCCCAACTCCTTCCTAGTCACTTCATTCTCATCACACACTTGACGCGTTTCCATCAGAAACACGATCTGCGGGGAAGCTTGTCGTAGTAACGACTTTAAGGATCTCACTGCCCGTGTGCTCCCCAGTCCACGGCAGTTATAACTTAAAAGCTTCATTTGGCTACCGAAGGGGATTGGTTCCCCGCACCATCAGCATTGTTCATTGGTTTTTCCAGAATTCACTACTTCCTCTACAACTTCTTTATGCTTACTATGGTTCCCTCTCTCCCCTGTAGCCTTCACTTCTTTTTTCTTTTGGCTATTCCCCTTGATCCCATTCACTGACAGAGGGGACTCCATATAATTAACTTGCTTCCCTCCATTATTGCCCTTCATTTGCTCTTCCAGCTGAATCTTTTTATTCGCATCAGATGGCTTCGTACTCACTTCCCTGGTCGCTTTAACCCCCTGATCTCCCAAATTCTCATCACCGCCTGCATCTTCAGAATTCACGTCCACCACCCCCTCCTTTGCATGGAATTCACGTCCAGCCTTTTCGCTGAACCACCATCCAATCACCATAGGTCTTACCTTTCGTTAGGTCCTGTGTTGGGCTCGTTGGAGCCTCCTCCCCCATGTTATCCTTCTCTCCTGTCATATCATGGCAAGAGCATAAATCTGTCGACTGCCCATACTTCCCACAGTCAGTACATACCTTATCCAAGCCTTCATATTGTATAATATATGTGACCCCTTCAATTTTGTATTGCGACAGCAGAGGTCGCGTTAAGTCAACTTCCACACACACTCGACCAAACTTCCCCCTTGCTCCTAGTTCCGTAGCTCGGTCCACCCTTATAGGTTTCCCGATAGCCGCCGCAATTCTCATGACTGCTTCCTTGTTGATAAATTCAATGGGCAACTCCGGCAACTGTACCCACACCATCGTTGAAAGTGCCTTTGTTTTCCAAGGGTTAAAACCCTTAAACCATCGATGAGCAGTGAGGTAGGTGTCGCCTAGCAGCCACGGTCAACCCTCTAACGCAAATTCATAATCTTTCTGATTCCGAAAACGAACCAGGAAGCAGCCGTTCTTCATGTTCGATATCTGTAATTCCCCGTTCCTTCCCCATAAGAAATTCAATCTTTTAACAAGTGGTAGGTATGACACTTTATGTCCCAAACCTTTCACTACCAGAGCCGACCTCCACTCACGTCTCCACCATATCTTCTCAGCTGTCGAAAAACATATTGTGGGGCATGTTGGGTCATAGTTTTCTTCATCTTCTATATCATCTTCTTCTTTCTCCCTCTGGTCAACGTCCTCCGTATCGGATTCCGCTATGTACCATTGATCCTGTTGAACAACATCACTGAACAGCCGTCTCGCCCCCGCACTCCATTGATTGCGCCCATGGTCATCAGCTTGCTCCGTTTCCATCTCCAGTTCCGTAACATCTTCCACCTCAACCACTTCCGGCGCCTGAGCTGTAGCCCTAGGTCTTTTTTTAGCCTGGGTGGATTCCTTAGCGTTCTTCCCGTTTGTTGACGAAGAGACTTCGGCCGAGCGTCGGACCCCTCCAGCCACTTCAGGGGGTTTGCCTTTGCCAGTCGACGCCGGTGCCGGCGCCTCCGCCGCCATCGCGCGAAGAAAAAAACCTAGTTGTCGCTCTCTTTCGCCTTCTGAAAAATCCCCGGAAACTTCGGAGCCCGAGACTCACTGTGTGGCGCTTAAAATCGGTATCATATATATTTTTTACCTTGCGCATGATCAGCTCACATCGCCTGAACCGCAGCCGCCAGGCGAAGCATACTACTTTCCCCAACTGATGATGAATGAGCGACCAATGGTCGCACCGCCTCGAACGCCGAAGCCTCCGTCACCGAATTCAGAGCCTCCGTTGGATGGAACCAGTCCCAGAAAACATAACTCAACCTGTCAGGACACGGAGCTTTGTCGGGGATGCATTGTCCGCTGCTCGCCTCCACGGTGCAGCAAGCGCAAATCACCACCTCCAACGCCTTGAGCTCTGATTAATGAAAAATCATGTATATTAATTAAATCATGTAGTAAAATGTAACAAAAAAAATGTATAAGTAGGAAAAGGTAAAAGTTACCGTTGACGGTAGTCGAATTTTTCTGCCTGACCATCATTAACATGTCGGATCCAGACACGATGTAAACGAACTGGGCATCGGTGAGTTTTGCCTGAAGACGATTAATCGCCGATTTCAGCCGGACGTTGAATAGCGCGGCAGCGTCGTTTTGCGCCTCGGCGCATCCAGAAGCCGACCCGTTGTTACCGTACCGACGGATCGCAAAAGGAACGCATCCAATCTGGCCCAACGCAAACACACCGATTTTCCTCGCCCCGAGCCCGTACAGTCTCTGTAGCTGCGTCGTGGCCCAACCAAGAAAAGGAAGAAAAAAGAATCAGGATCCAAACTAGAACCGCGGTGGCGATGTGTTGGTCTGGGCTGGGCCGGGCCCATACCTGAAGCTGCTGCGCGTATCGGTTGGCGAGCAGGGCGGCGAACTGCTCGACGGTGTAAGTGCAGCTGGAGGGATAAAACTCGGGGCGGAAGTAATTGTTGAGGAGATCGTTGTTGCCGACTCCGAGGGTGTATAAGCACTGGCCCAGGTGGCAGGAGGCGGCGGCGGCGCCAATGATCTTGGCGAGCGCGGAAACGGAGACTCCATGGTTGTCCAATTGTACGTCCAAGGGAATTCGCTGGCCCTGTATTTTTTTTTTAACACAATTAGTAGTTAGCTGAAGTTGAGGAGCTCTAATGGGTTGCTACAAGTTTACCCGTTGCGCCCCTGTTTGTTGGAGGATCCCGGCGGAGCCCGACGCACATAATTCACGCCGGTCAAAGTGTCGATGTCGGTGGCGGTTGCAAATGGGGGGATGGGACACTCAAAGCCCAAGTACTCAGCTGGACTTGCAAAAAAGTGAAAGACAATTTAGCTGTGGGCCTAAATGGTAACTTTGGGTCAAGCCCTTTTTGGGTGAAGATTGTAGCCAAAATCCAGCCATTCATTGGATCAAGAGCATGAGTTCTGACAATCGGCTTTAATATATCGGATTCTTGAGCTTTATGTGACTATCTCATGGTATGTTTAAGCCGATTGGTGCTATTTTAGGGAGAATTAACCCGAGAATGGTTGAAAAGCCATTACCATCATGTGCAATTGTTTTGATGTTTTAGGTGAAATAAAAAGAGAGAAAATGACAGCACATGTGTACTTCCGAAGCAGCTGATGGAAGGAACAAATTGGACTTAAAGCCAAACAGTACAACAAACTTTGCAAGACGAAACAAAGCATTGGGCTCAAGCCCAATTGATGGAGGCATTCTTTTTCCTTGGACCAGGGACGGATTGGATTGGAGGGTATGGAATTAACAGGGAAGCAAGTAGGGATGGCAACAAAATCCGAACTCACGGGTACCCACCCGACCCAATCCGGTCAACGCGGGTAAAACCTGTGTTGACGGGTTTTGGGCCGGGTTCGGGTTTAAACTCGCTACACTATTCACCGGGTCGGGTTGGTTTGGGTTTAGGTAAACCCGCCCCATGGGTACCCGCCCACGCACATATAATTACTTTCCCGATATATTTAATATTCTAAATAATAGATCTTTCTTAAACAGCTAATATTATATATGTTTGTGGAGACATGTATAATTTGTTCTTTCTAATTGTTTAGAATGAAGTTGATATTATGAAGTGGAGAGTGAAGAAACTTAGTTGACGAGGAAGAAGCTTTCAATTAATCTTATTGTTTATATATGTTTATCTTTAATTTTGAATAATTTGTATTGATCATTTGCGCTTTGCTTGTATGCTCTAGATTGGTGTTTTTTGTATGATTAATTTGTATGAGAAAATTGATGTTAAACTTTTATTTTGAAAGAAACTTGTTATTGAAAATTTTTACCACAAAAACCCATGGGTACCCATGAACCCGCGGATACCCAGCGGGTTGGGTTGGGTTTGAGTTTTTCAAACCCAACAAGTTTTATCCCGAGTTTTTTTGACAGATAAACCCATTTGTTTGGGTTTGGGTTTGACAAAACCCGACCCATTGCCATCCTAAAAGCAAGGAGGGGAATGAATTCTTTTCCAGGGGGAATTAATTATTTTGGGACAGCACATAGTGGGACGGAAAAGAAAGGAATTCTCCTGGGACACGGAATTCTTGTGGGGAAAGAAAGCAGCAGGGGAGGGAGCTTTGGGGAATTATTGTAGAGAGCGGCAGCTAGGGATGGCAATGGGTCGGGTTGGGTCGGGTTTTGCCAAACCCAAACCCATGGGTTTATCTTTGAAAAAAACCCGGAGTAAAACCCACTGGGTTTGAAAAACTCAAACCCAACCCAACTCGTTGGGTATCCGCGGGTTCATGGGTACCCACGGGTTTTGTCGTAAAAAATTTACAATTACAAGTTCTTATCAAAATTAAAGTCAAATATCAATCTCTCAATACAAATTATCCATATATAAAACACCATTCTAGAAAATTCAAGCAAATCACAAATTAACTATACAAATTGTTCAACACCAATCTAGAAAACTCAAAAAAATTGAAGCAAATCACAAATTTTCCATAAATAACATGTTTAATTGAAAGCTTCTTCCTTTCAATTAAGTTTCTTTACTCTCCACTCCATAACATCAACTTGATTCTACACAATTAAAAAGAAAAAATTAGACATGTCTCCACAAACATAAATAAGATTAGTTGTTTAGAATATTAAATATACCGAAAAAATTAATTATATGGGTGGGCGAGTACCCACGGGCCGGGTTTACCTAAACCCAAACCCAACCCAATCCGTTGAATAGTGAACGGGTTTAAACCCAAACCCGGCTCAAAACCCGTCAACACGGATTTTACCCGCGTTGACCGGGTTGGGTCGGGTGGGTACCCGTGGGTTCGGGTTTTGTTGCCATCCCTAGCGGCAGCCAAAGCTTGGGGACGAAAACTCTTTTTTGGGAACGGCTGCAGCGAACGACGAGGGCGGAGCGAGCAACTTGTTGCGGCGATCGAGTGTGCAGAGTAGCGGGAAGCAATTATCAGTATTTGTTTTCTTTTGCTTTGCTTCGTAACATGATGATTATGAACATGATTGTTTGTTTTATTTTCGTCATGAACTAAACATCGATTTCTGGGGGAAACACCATAGGATGCAGCTATTTTTAGATTTGATGGATTGATTCGTATTTCTTTTCTTCCAATCTCTATTGCATGAAATTACTTAATGATGTGTGTTGACTGGCCACCAATACATTGATTTGTTGTTAATTAGGTTATTAGCGACAGTGAAACCCTAATAACTGAACATATTTCATGTGACATAGTAACTTATCGAAGCGACAGTGGATTAAATAAGATGCTATGTGGTCTTGAATAGGATATCGATCTTCAGGCTAAATAATTAAGTCATTGAGCTACGACAGTAGGATTTGATTTAATTGTTTAGTACGTAGTAATTCCCGACAGGGAGAGCTAGCACAGTAGTGATATCCTGGTTGTAGAGATATGGATTAAATTGATTGGAATATGTGAATTAATTTGGATATGATAGGCAGCGAGTTCCGGTGTTTCTCCCAGAGCTTTCTCCCATTGATTTCATCCCGACAATTTTATTTGCTTCTTTTGTTTAATTATTAGATAGTAGTTTATCACTTAAACATTTTCACGTATAGTTGGCTCATAGAATTGATATATTATAAGGTTGTACCAGTCCCCGAGAGACGATACCCGGACTTTCCGGTTTTACTACGAGATAGGAAATTGGCATTACGCTTTTGCCCTATCAAGTTCGTTTGGCGTAGTTGCACTTTTTGTGTGTATATTATTCCTATGAATGGTGATGAGGATTTGAGCTAATTAGTAGGTACTATCAAGAGATTCAATGTAATGAAAAGGCATTGATCATCTAAACATCAATTACAATATATCACATCAACTAGTCATTCATCAATTCACTGCTCATTTGGTTTGGGAACTTATTGTACTGGTAGTCAATCGTTGAAATTAATCAAGACGATCGTCTTTGAATAGTCCGCTAAACTACGAATGATTTCACGAGTAAATAGACTAATATACCAAGAATTAAATTGACATCCAAAAATATTGAGTTGGATAGAACAAATATTGATGGCCTTCATCTTTTTAGTTATAAGTTAGAAATCATTTTTGTATGTCTAATGGATTCAGAAATCTTTTAGGTTTAGCGATCACAATGTTAGGAGTCTTGAATTTAGATTGTCAATGTATTTTACTCATTGGCTTGTGTCATAATGGTGATTTTACATTAGTGATACTTATTGTTCTTATAACCGTCATTTTGATTATCAAACTATGCTCATAATTATTATAATTTCCCACAAAATTACAATCACAAAGAAAGTGTATGAGCTTGCACAAAAACCATTTACAATTTAATTTTACTTTTTAAGTATTTCTAAAATTTGACTAGTACAAACTCCCTGTAGTACTTATTATCGAATGTAAACATATATACGTAAAACTATATGCATGAATCACAATGGTAAGTTATGTTCTGTTATGTTAGGCAAATGTATTATGTATGCATGGTAGGAAATTGTACGTGTTGATTAATTTATGGCATGCAGCAGCCACTTATTTATAGAAATGTATCGAGTTTGAATTATGAGTGAGGAAAGAAGGACGGACGGACCGAAGAAATCGACGATGTTGCGGCCGTTGGTGAACCGTCCGGTTGGACCGCGGGGGTAATCAACCCCATAAGGCGAGTAGTCGACCTTGGCAACGGTTTGGAGCATGTTGTTGTTGCCACTGTCGGGCCGCCAAGGAGTCTCCGAAGATGTAATAGCACGCCACCGCCTTTTCCCCGTCCGCAAACGACGACAATCTCGCCATTACCATCAGCGCGGCGGCGGCGGCGGCGACCACCCAAACACGCCTTGAAACCATCTCCAAAAGTACAAACACGAAGGGAAGCATATAAATGTTGGAGAGGGTAGGGTGAGCAAACGCAAGTACGATCGAGTGGATGTGGATGAGATTCCCTTTTGATAAATAGGTATATATAGTAGTGAGTTGGGGTAGATATGTCAATATAGCCAGTGTTACGAATTAGTGGATTTGAATAAGTAGTGAATTGGGTTATATATAAATGTGGCATATGGATTAGATTTATAGATGGGTGGATTTATAGATTTGAATCAAATATATTGGTGATCGTCTTAGTGTAATATTATGATCTTACTGTCATGGTAAGACTAACAACACTATCATACAACTGTGGTATCATTATTTGTCACTATAGTGCTATTATGATATGACAAAAAAGTAAAATGACCTAATTTTCCCCTCAAAATCATCAAATAAATATAATTTTGTAGGTATGCACTATGATAAGACTTCGTATCATCTCACTAATGTCATACCCACATCATACTGCTATCTTTGAACTCTACAATAAATATCATATTACCACTGTCATAACATGATCTTATCACTATGGTAAGATTACACAACACCATCACACCATTGTATCATGATATGGTAATGGTAACATGACTGTGACATTTTTTTTTTTTGAAAACAATATTAAAATGGATATCATCTTGTAGAGAAGAAAATTCTTATTTTTCTATGCAAATCTTTTTGAATTTCGAGTTAAGAAGAATCAGATATAGCTCGTTAAAAAGAATTAGATACCAGCTACACTGATGTTATTATCAAAGTGAATATATCATTGTCATGGTTCTATTTTTTTTTTTCAAACATATATTGATTTTACCTGTTGCAACTCGAAGTAAACTTTTTCAGATTGGGTTACATAAAGAACAAGTTTCGAAATACAATAGGTTTCAGTTCGTATGATTATCTCATATGATATATTGAAAGGAAATTGTTGAACATTGTAGACTATCTTTCTCTCTATTATGTTAATGTTCGCCTTCTCGGTTATCTTTCTTTCTTGGTTGTGATGTTGCTATTTGTTCTTGGGCTTTTTGTCTCATGGCCTGTGAGTAGGGATGATTATTTTGACCTGGCTCAGGTTATCCGACCTATTTGGCATGTTTTGAGGCGGGTAATATTCGTCCGTAGGCAGGGTAGACATTGGTAGTCTCCTCGACCGACTGTCCTGACCCGCCCACTTTTAACCTATTCTTTCCCAAATCACATGTAATTTTATTCAAATTACTTAGAATTTTATGTTTATTACCTAATATTTTAGTTATAATAAAGTTTTAAATAGGTGAGAACCTCAATTTTTTGAATAATGTAACTACACTCATCATGTTTTAGTTTGTTCTTCATTTTTTATAATAAAAAATAAACATTTTAATGTTTTACGTTTAAATTACATACTTTTTTTTAATTACATACTCATATGAATCAATCTGTCTTGATTCGTACACCATAATAAATTATCCAACCGAAGAACATAAACTTTTTTTTTTTTTTTTGATAAGGGTGAAATCATTTATTAAAGTAAAGTAAAAGAAAGTACAAAGAGCAGCTGCAGCTGAAGAACAGCTGCTGAAGAAACAGCAAAAGAGAACTAAATCCAACGATCAAAGAAAGAGCAGGGGTGGGAGACCCTCACACCAAACACCCACAACTGCCACTACCGCTTCCAAAGAGCCAAAAACGAAAGCCGAAGAACGGCAGCAAAGACCAAGAACAAAGCCCAAAGTGGAACCCGAAACATGACCCACGACCCCCACCCAGATCAACACAGCAACCTCGCTAAGATATACAGATCGAAAGATCCTGGTGCTAAAGAAAAACACAAAATCCCAATAGAAAAGCTCAGAAGCTGCTGTAAAAAACGCCCTCCCCAGAGCAAACTCAGCGCTGCGCCCCATCTGCTCTTGGGAGAAGTTGGAGACGTAGGTTCCTCAACCAATCATCTGCAACCACTCTATCAACCTTCTTGTTTGCACATAGCCAGTCCACCATTGCACGTCCAATCTTGAACATAAACTGATGAGCCCCATTAAGTTAATTACCACCCATCCATCCAAATAAACAATTATAAAAGATATATGAATATCAACATATCCACCCACATTGCCTCATAAGGCTCAGGCCAATGCAGCCTGCATTTATGGGGTTGTCGCCATTAATGCCGATTTTGGAGTTCCAACGCAGAGAAATATATGCCGAAAATTGGCAACTATGGAGGCGATCGGCAATTGGATCGCTATATATGGAGGAGGGTTTGCCGATTTCGGCATTTATGGAGGAGGAGATGTCTGCTGCGCGGCACAACCGCCGGGGCTGGGCGGTGCGCCGCACGCGCAAGGGAGAAAGCTCTCTCCCTTGCCCGTGCGGCGCACCGCCCAGCCTCGGCGGCTGTGCCGCCAGCTGCTCTTTTTTTTTAATGGTTGTTTAGTTATTTAAGGTATTTAATTAAGGAATTTGATTAAGAGAATTGAATGTAATTAATTAGGGGAAGTGGAATTAAATTGAATTAATTAGGGGAAGAGGAATTAAATTGAATTAATTAGGGGAAGGGGAATTACATTTATATTTGTATTTAGGCTTTTTAGATCGTATTTAATTTGTGTTTAATATTTGTGTATTTAGGATTTTTTTTCTAAGATGACTTAAATTGAATTCATTTTATTTAAAAGGGGTGGAATTTTGGTCATTGTTGGTGGATCTTGAAAAGATGCCAAAAATTTCATACAGTGATAATAATGCCATCTTCAAATCAAAGCCGCATGAGTCAAGGTTCTGATGGTTCTCCCATGGGTCTTGGTTATCAATCAACACCACAGACAGACCTCAATGACACAGAAGGAGACGAAGAAACTCCACCATTCGTCGGAGAAACTCCACCGTTCGTCGAAGAAACTCCACCATTCGTCATCTCTCGCCCTGCTGGACGCGACAAACAGAAGGCAGCTAAGAAGAAAGGAAAGGGGGTTGCCGAGTCATCAGAGAGCTACACTGCTCAATTGCTGGAGTATGGAAGTGAGTTGAAGGAGAGGCATGCTTTGAGGACTGAGTATGAGCGAAGAAGGATGGAATTCCAAGAACAAAAATCAAAGCGTGACCAAGAAAAGTGGGAAGTTGAGAAAAAAGAGAGGGAAGCAGCACTATTTCGGAACAATCTTGATCTTATTGAAAAGGACTTGTCGAAGTTGACACCAAGAAAGAGGAAGTTTTACAAAAATCATCAAAACATGCTCCTAGGGTATTATCAAGATGATCCCAACTCTGTTCCCGAGTATTCATCCAACGCAAGTCAAACTGGAGGTGGAGATGGAAATGGAGGAGGAGATTAAGGTGGAGGAGATTACGAGAATTACTATTCCCTTCTGGGTGATTATTGACATGTTATGTGTGTTTCTTTTTTATCATTTCAAGTGTTGTGTGTTATTTTTAAACTTTATCATTTTCAAGTGTTGTGTGTAATATTTAATCTTTATGATTAGCAAGTGTTTGTGTGTAACCTATGAATTGTGTCATTTGAAACTAAAACAATAGCTTTTGTTTTAGTTTGTTAGTTGTCGTTTTGCACTTCTCGAGAAAAATACGACAACACTTTTTATTCGATGAAACAAAAATAAAGCAAAACTTTAAAACAACTATTTGTTTTATATTTCTCTCCTTTTTAACCATTTTTCACTTTTTGGGTACATTTTAGTGTGAAAAGGTTAAACCAGCACGTCGTTACCACTTACCAATGATTCAAACATAAAGATCAGGAACATTAAAGTGATTGTTGTTAGAGGTAAAATACATCGGGTACCACTTAACTTTGAGAATTAGGGTAAATATATCATTTAATTTTGAATAGGGCGTCGGGTACCACTGAAAAACTATTTTATGTGCATCCGGTACCACTTAAGTTTACTGTTAAATACATTTCGTTAAAGTTGACAGAATATTCTTGGAATATTTCGTTTTCCAAATTTCAGAATTGGTTCTTCTACTTTTCTTCTTGTAAAAAATCATTTGGACTTATGAAAAAACATCATTTTTTATTGTTTGGTTGGAATACTCTTTTGAATACTCTAATACCAAACCAATTTTTCAATAAAAATTTAGAATTAATTATCATTATAAGTATTTTCAATCATATGTGTTCTAATAATTGAATTTTTCTCTGAAACAAATATATCAATGAATTTTGTCTCAATATAAATAATTTAGAGCATACAAGTAAACCGCAAATGATCAATATAAATTGTTCAAAATTAAAGATAAACATCTATAAACCACAAGATTAATTGAAAGTTTCTTCCTCGTCAACTAAGTTTCTTCACTCTCCACTCCATAATATCAACTTCATTCTAAACAATTAGAAAGAACAAATTATACATGTCTCCACATACATAAAGAATATTAGTTGTTTAATGAAGACATATTACTTAGAATATTAAATATACCGGAAAGTAATTATATGTGTGTGGGCGGGTACCCATGGGGCGGGTTTACCTAAACCCAAACCCAACCCAACCCGGTGAATAGTGTAGCGGGTTTAAACCCGAACCCGACCCAAAACCCGTCAACACGGATTTTACCCGTATTGACCGGGTTGGGTCGGGTGGGTACCCGTAGGTTCGGGTTTTGTTTCCATCCCTAGTTCTGAAGTCATTTGGTCATAGGATTTGTTAAGTAGCATCTAAAGTTTTTTAATTAAAAGAAATTGTTTAGATACTATCTCTTTTTAGATTTCTCTCATTTTGGTGTTGTAGAAAGTATGTTTTTTACAAATTTTGGGAGGAATATTTTTTAAAAAAAATAATTGAGTGTTTGACTGATAAATTATTATAAGTAATTTTTATTATAAAATGTAATGTAAAACCGCTAAAGGTAAATTCTAATAAAAATATAAAACAAACGTAGAATTCGACAAGTTATCGTATGAACTTGAAATATTTGGAAATACGATGAATATTTATGGTTATTCAAAATAATTATTTATAAATTTGAACGTTTAAGATATATAATGATCCTTAATTTTTTTTTATGAATCAGTGGGTTTCATTCATAAAAAAAGAGTGGTGCTAGCAACAACCCTTGTTAGCTAGGTATAATACTCATATCGCAAAGACAATAAGAAAGCCTAAACACTCATATCCCAGAATAGGTGAACTCTATGACTACCTAGGAAACATTCAATTTCAGATTGAATCACCCTCAACAATGTGTTATAATCC